TTTTTGCATTAAAAAGAGGATACTTTAATTAATAATTGGTGATATTTCCACAAGGATCGTTCAAGAAATTAATTTTATAGCGAATTTTGAAAATTATCGATGAAAATTGCACCGAAAATTTTATCAAAACTTCAAATATTGTTTTCTCAAAAACTAAAGATTATTTTTCAAAACGTGTTGGTTCATTGGAAAGAGGACACTCTTATTAACACTTTGGGAAATTTTCAAACTCACATTCCAAGAATTGGATTTTATACGAATTTTTAAAATTTAATTGGCGAAAATTGCAAAATTCAAAAAAATTATCGATCATTTCAAGAACTAAAAGTGATTCTTCAAAACGGCTATTTGCATTAAGAAGAGGATGCTTTAATTAATAATCGAAAGTGATAACAGCGATAGTTCTGTTCTGTTAGTAATGAATGTGATGATGAATTATAAGCGAAGAGAAGGAAACTAGACGAAACTGGAACAAGAGATTTTATATATCGTATTGGAATTGTTACAATGTGGTTGCTAAAGACAAACCTGATATAAATAAAGTTGTATTAAATGAAAAAAGTTCTTTTGCGGTTGAACTTGATTATTATCTGCAGTGTCCAACGCCTAAAAGAAATACTAATTCCTGTGAATGATGGAGTACTACGCAATAGGTTTTTAACCCTTTATGTCCCAAGAAGTCAAAAATTTTGAAACTTTGTGACAGAATTAAAACGTTATCAAAATACACACAGTAAAGGCCGTTGGAATCAATTTTAGCAAAATATGCAATCCCCCTATTTTCGCTTAATCTAAGTTTCAAAAAAGATGCTAATTCAAAAATTCCTGGAAGCCGTGTTTATTGAAATTAAGAAGTGAAACTTATTTTAAATTGAAGCTTAAAGCTTTCTGTTTAAATCGATGTATAATAATAGTTGGGTTGAATTAGAAAAATTTTAAGAAAAAGAGTATTGTGTTAAAACTAATATTTTCGTATAATCTAAAAGTGTCAAAAAGATGCTAATTTAAAAATTCTTGGAAGCCGTATTTATTGAAATTAAGGAATGAGACTTATTCGAAATTAAAGCTCAAAGTTTTCTCTTTATGTATATAATATATATAATATGTATAATAATTGTTGGGTTGGATTGGAAAAATATAAAAAAAAAAAAGTTGTAATAAAACTTATATTTTCGCATAACCTAAAAGTGACAAAAAAGATGCTAATTTAAAAATTCCTTGAAGTCGCATTTATTGAAATTAAGGAATGAAACTTATTTTAAATTAAAGCTCAAAGCTTTCTCTTTAAAATGATGTATAATAATAGTTGGGTTGATTAGAAAAATATTAAGAAAAAGAGTATTGAGTTAAAACTAATATTTTCGTATAATCTAAAAGTGTCAAAAAGATGCTAATTTAAAAATTCCTTGAAGTCGTATTTATTGAAATTAAGGAAGCTCAAAGTTTTCTCTTTATGTATATAATATATATAAGATGTATAATAATTGTTGGGTTGGATTGGAAAAATATTAAGAAAAAAAATGTTGAAACAAAACTTACATTTTACAACACTTACATTTAAAAGAGTTAAAAAAGATGCTAATTTAAAAATTCCTGGAAGCTGTGTTTATGAAATTAAGAAATGAGACTTATTTTAAATTAAAACTCAATACTTTCTTTTTAAAATGATCTGTAATAATCACACCTAATAACCATTTATCAAAGAGATACCTTTTTGAACAACAAAATTCAACATCACCACTTTTCACTAAACTTCTAACCTCGCATGTGGATGAATAAGTGTGTGAAACTACCAGTACTTTAAAGTACCGTCGGGACACAAAGGGTTAATATCCGCATATTTGGTAACTATCCGTTTCACCACGAATTAAAATAGTTAAATGTAGAATTGTCTAAAATATGTTTGGATAGAAAAAATGTAATAAAACATAGTATTTCTAAAATTCAACGTGCACATTTTTATTGCTGAATTTACTGTACAAGAGAAAAGGATATATTATTATAATACATATTAAAAATGAAAATCTGTTCCTTATTCATTATATTTTCCTTCATATGTATAATATATATCTAATTATATGAATATGTACACAGTAAAAAATAATAGAAAGGAGCCTGCTTAGCAGTGATTTTTTTAAATAATACAAATTAATTAAATTAATCGTTTTATAAAACAGAAAAAAGAAAGTCACAACTGGCAGAGGAATTGGCCAAATCCGATCGTGTTTTAATCGGTATATATAATATACAATCAGAATCATAGTGGTTACTTTTTTTTTCTTTTTTACATTCAATGTCGAACATAATACTACTTAAATAAATATTTTTATAACTTTGTACATTTCTTTATATAAAAAATAACAATTCGTAGAGCGAAATAAAATTACTATCACATAAGTGAATCTATAAATAATAAAGTTTTTGTTTTAAAAGAAAATATACACAATTTACAAAACCGGCCGGTCGAATATCTTCCTATTTTTTCGCACAATTTTGGCACAATTCGAAACACTTTAAAAATAAAATATAAACACCAAATTTTTTTATTTTTTTACCCCCCATAGTTTCATTAGTAGGAACGAACGAAAATAACTTTTTTTTAAAAATATGGCAGAACATTATAAAGGACATCTTTCCTAGATTTAGACTTTTTTCTTTGGACTATAGAAAAATAAAAAAACCGTTCATCGGATCTTTTTCTTGGGTTTCTGCGCGAATCGTTTCCACCTCAGTCCCCAATTCTTCGTCTTTCCGGCCCCCGTTCTTGTCGAATTAACACAACAAGTTACCGCTGCCTCTGGATTAAGCAAAGTTCATAAACTCTCTCGAGACTGATAGAACAGAATGTAACCGGTTTCCGATGATTTTTGCGTGTCGGACGTCAAACCATAAAAATCTTCTATTGTTGATGCATCAATTTTCTATTTTTATTTTATTATCATTAAGTTCATTTAATTAATATATTTTGGATACTTACATCTACTTGATCATCATCAAAAAGAAGCCAAAACCCGTGACTCTTTACTATACTGATATAATGCCCTCTATTTGGACCGCTTCCACAGTGAATAACCACAGCTATTAGGTCGTACAGTCTGTCTGGATTTACAGCATCATCGGACTAAGGGAATTTCGTTTAAGATTTATTTAACAGAGTCGATTTATCCGATTTACTCACCGTATTAAAAAGTCGTAACTCTAACGGAAATACAACTCTATGCGAAACTTTGATGTGCCTGTTGTACTGTTCCATATATTTGAAGCGTTTTAGGTGTAGGGCTAGGATCATGGGCAGTTTCTTCACCCGGACCCTTTTTTGGGCCTCCTGGTAACTACTGCAGTTATCACACTTAAACTTGTTATCACTACACAATGTCTCCGTATTACTGAAACACTTTAAACAGTGCGAGATACTAGTGTTTTGTTCAATGTCTACTTGAAGGTCGAAGAAATCTTCATCTTTGCTGCTTACCGTCTCGCAGTTTAAACACCGAGTTTCGCTCGTCATTATACCCTATTTAAAACACCGCCAAGATTATTTTTATAAAGATAATATTAAAAATGTTTACCTGAAATATTTCGTGAACCCAAGTAGGTTCGGGCGGATTATGAATAATACCATTCTCCCCCGAAGCTTTCGTTTTAATATTATTCGCGTTCGCGTTCGTAGTGACCACCGTAGTCGCATTCGTTGAGGTGGAATTCTGTTGTCGTTCGGCGAGGATAATTTCGCTGATCCGATTAATGAGGAAATTGAGGAATTCGTGCGCGTCCTGCTGCATGTAATTGTCAAACTCCTCCTTTTCTTTTCGTAATCGCGCGATAAACTTTTTCGGTGCTATCGAACCGACCTTTTTCTTTTGCGTCGCGATGCTGTGAAAGAGATCGGCCAGACACGTGAGCAGAGTCTCTTTCGTTCGTTTATTTTTCGCTTTGTACTCCAGCACTTTCTCTCTGAACGGCTTACAAAAGTATAATGCTTGAAGAACTGAGTTACTATAACACGTATTGCCAAACTGAAAAAAAGAAACATACAATATTTTTAATAGCTGTTATAGATAAACAGAGATGATTTGTCTAAAAAGTTATTTGATTAAAGATATAAAAAGATCTTGTGCGATCTTTATAAGTCGTTAGTCTGATGGGCAGTAACTCTCAACCAAGTAAATTTGATGCATGTTTAGACAATTTTCTCTCGGCCAATCGTCTTGCGTCATTACTGAACTAGGTCTGTCAGATCACAAGGCTTATCTCCTTTTTTGTTCTATAGTGGGCTGGGTGCACCCAATAAAAAGATTAAAGTAGCATATAAATCATTCACTCGGAATGGGTTAATAACGTTTCATGATTGTAATGAGTTGGACATGGAAGATAAGTTTCGTCGTTTTATCGATGTGTCAACAAATGCCGTCAATATTAACTTCTGTGAAAAGTTTACTGGTTTAATTATGAGATAAAAATGGCAAGGGACAAACTACACTTGTTTTCTAACATCCAGACTTAATGCCACGTAAAAGACGGGAGCAACTGAAAAAATGTTTGCACTTTGCAGAGGAATTTGCTAAAATTTCGAAGGGGTATAACGAGAGAAATCTATAGAAGAGTGTACAGAAAAGCCTTAAAACCTCTACCAAATGTCCGTGCGTTTTTGCGTTATAATAATAAATGCCTTTATTAGAAAATAAGCTGAATTGTATAAAAAAACACACAAAAGAAAATAGGCGAGTTTCAGCTTGTACTAGTTAGTATAGTTGCTATAACTAACCTAAACAAAAAAGAAAAACATGACTCGGCCAAAAATTACAAAGCAACAGCTAGATACAACAACAAGATTGCAAAACATGTCAGATCAGCGTTTGCCCTCATGTAGATATTGTTCAAGAAAACAAGAATTTTTCTTTGTAAATTTAAACCTTCCTAGTGAGAACCTATTACAATTATCGTCCACCTCATTATTTATTTATTTATTTTATTTATTTATTCATATTCGGGACACGTACAGGAAAAAATCCCAAAAAAGTGTCCACTACAATAATATAAAAGAAAAGAAAAGAAAACAGACTACATAAGAGAGAACAAAAAAAAAAACTAAAAAATTTATCAAAAGCATGAAACAATAAAAAAAATGGAATTAAATCAGCAAGCCCGAAGCAGAAAAGAAAATAAACACAGAGACTGGATTGGTCCACATAATCATCGATATTACGCGGATAGAAAAACAGAATAAGAAGGACCATAAGAAAGGACAAATTTATGTTGCTTTTCTTTTCTGCTCCACCACCCGCAAGAAATCAATATAAATATGGTAAACGAATGTGTTTCGATCGAGTAAATTAATTTTACAAAGAAAAAACTAATGACAAATACTTAAAGTTAAAACGGATTTTTTAAACGACATCATTGAATTACAAAAGAAATCAACATTGAAACAATAAACATTGCAAGTGTGCAGCGCACTAGATCCAGAAGCAGGTAGTCTGAACAAAAATGGTGATCGAGTAGCATAAGAAGGAACATTAAAGTGAATCTGCTCTAAAAGAACCGGAGCGTCGAGAACTCCATTAACTAGTTTGAACAGGAACAATAGGTCCGTACTGTGTCGACGGCCACAGAGAGATCTTAGACCAAACACCCGGCATCTTTGGGAATAAGGGCAGTACGGAAGATAAAATTTGTGAGCAAGATAACGGATAAATGTTCTCTGTAGGCCCTCAATAAGGTCGATGTAAATATTATAGGCAGGACTCCATACTACTGAAGCGAAATTTAAACCGCTAGCAACGTATGCCATATATAAAGAAGTAATGCAGCGGACGTTTGTAAATGGACGAGAAATCCTAATGATAAATCCTAGGCGCTTAGTAGCTTCAGAAACGATAGAAGTAATATGATCGCGATAGAGTAGTCTAGAATCCAGAACAACGCCAAGATCTTTAACTGAAGAGGATTGAGTAAGATAATGCGGACCTATCATATATTTGAAGTTAACATTATATCTCTTTCTACTGAACGTGATCTGACAACACTTATCAGGATTTAGAAATAAGTAATTTTGTGAGCAATAAGAATCAAATCTGTCAATGTCATCTTGCAACCGAATACAGTCAGAAGCAGACCTGATGCTAGCAAAAATTTTACAGTCATCAGCGAAAAGAGAAAAATTCGAATAATGAAAGCACTCAGAAACATCATTATATTTCGAAGTCATTTGAAATATGTATGACCTCTGAAATAAAGACAAACGATAGAAGGGTGGCGAGTCTTCCGCGAAATCGCGTATTTATTCCGTGGACATCATTTCGGAAAGTTATCAATTGGTAGAGATACTGTGGTTTCTCATAGTTCATAATTTTATGGTATAGGCACAAACACTGCTCTTTCCTACGATGATACATATTTAGCCATCCCGAATCCTTCAGTTTATAAGATATTCTGTTATATTTTCTAATTTCATATATATACCCAAGACACTAGTTTTGTACTCGTACAATAAGTGAATTGAGACAAAACAGAGGCTTCGCACAACATATTTTTCAGATGAATACCAAGGTAGTGTCGATGAGAAAACAACATCCTCAGATGATAATAAGCCCTGGATATACAGTTGGAGACATGCTTCTTATAGCGAAAACTGTTATCCATAATCATATCCAAATTCTTAACTTTACTAACCAAAGGAATGTTACAACCAACAATTTGCAAATCAATACTTTCCCGAAAACCATTACATATAGCGGAATTTCCAAAAAGCACAAAGCATCCATTATTACGAGAAAAAACTACAATATAAAAAATTGTGGTATTAATTTACAATTAATGCAGCAAGATCACCTGATATAACCTCCTGCAACTTCTTCCTTTGGAGATAGATACGTCAAAACTAGTGATGGAACGGATATCCGGCAATAAATAAATTTTTTAAATAATCGACAATTTTTCCGAATTTAACAATTTTCGCCGATTAAGTTTTAAAAATTCGTATAAAATCCACTTCTTGGAATATGAGTATGAAAATTTCCCAAAGTGTTAATAAAAGTGTCCTCGTTCCAATGAACCAATCCATTTTGAAAAATAACTTTTAATTTTTGAGGAAACAATATTTGAAATTAAACTAAAACTAGAACTAACACTAGCACTATCACAAGAACTAAGACTAGACCTAGAACTAGAATCTTTCGGGTTAAGCCGTGTTCGAAATCACTTCGAACTTGTTTCTGAAGAAGGTTGCAACATGGCATCCGAAACGTCAAACATTTTTTCAAAAAACGCACGGCTTAACCCGAAAGATTCTAGTTCTAGGTCTAGTGTTAGTTCTTGTGATAGTGCTAGTGTTAGTTTTAGTTTAATTAATATCGGCCGTGAAAGCCTTCGTACTTATAATATTTGAAGTTTTGATAAAATTTTCGATGTTGCAATTTTCATTGATAACTTGCAAAATTCGCTATAAAATTAATTTCTTGAAGGATCTTTATGGAAATATCACCAATTATTAATTAAAATAGCCCCTTTTTAATGCAAAAAGCCGTTTTGAAAAATCGCTTTCAGTTCTTGAGAAATAAATTTTAGAAATGATCGACAATTTTTTTGAATTTTGTAATTTTCGCCGATTAAGTTTTAAAAATTCGTATAAAATCCAGTTCTTGGAATATGAGTATGAAAATTTCGCAAAGTATCCCCTTTCCAATGAATTAACCCATTTTGAAAAATAACTTTTAGTTTTTGAGAAAATAGAATTTGAACTTTTGAAAAAATTTGATGTTGCAATTTTCATCGATAATTTTCAAAATTCGCTATAAAATTCATTTCTTCAAGGATCCTTGTGGAAATATCGCCAATTATCAATTAAAGTATCCTTTTTTTAGAGTTGGTTCGTTAGTTAAATCAGCATCAAAAAAATTCATTTTGTATCTTGGATCCAAATAAGTTGACATATCTTATCAGCTTTCTTATTAATTTAATTTTTATTTAAATATCGTAATAATGTGGCAATATAGGGTATCACTTCAGAAATGCACCAGAAATTATAACCATAATGTCCGGATAGATATGCCGGATATCTAGCCGAATATCCGGCTTTTCGCAAAATCATTATTCGTTCCATCACTAGTCAAAAGCCAAGTGTAAGCTAATATTTCAACGAGGATATGAAGAATAGAATAAGGGAAAGCTTTCGAAATATCTCTGCCGACATTAGAACCGAATTCGTAAATCGGATTCACTTATGCACAAAGCACAATTTCAGATATTTGAATTTTGATTAGGAATTATTTATAGTTTTCTTTTTTAAATCATCAGTAATGCTTAATCACATATTTTCTCAAATTTTCATAATAGGTTATAAATATGGAAAAACAGTTCATTTTTAAACATCCTGTTTAAGATAGACCAATGTAGCTAATAATAAATAGAGTGCATTTAAGGATATCCAAGCAGCAACTGTAATAAATTTTAAGTTTCAAGCTCGACTGCTCGCTGCACAATTCAGATTTAAAGAACATAGTGTTAATAGCTTAAAAAAAGCAATTCCATTTCACCCTGTTCTTAGTTCTAGAGTGCACACATACACCTAGTTTATGTATATTCATTTCCGTTAGCACTTCCTTGTGTTTGCAGTTCCACTATGTTATGTCCAACATTCGAAACATTTATACAGGGTGGGGCAGAATGCAGTCCCTAGTTTCAAAAAATCACTGTAGGGCGCCCAGACCGAATAGAAGGGTGGGGCAAGTGCCGTTAGGTAGGGGGAACAATACCGTTATCAATATCGACCATGCCGAAGTCAAGTGAGCAATGGGGCTTTGTTGTGGGGACGTTCTTTAAAAACGGGGAAAATGTTGTTGGAAACTGAGGGCTTAAAACCTAAAACCACTCGGAAATGGATCAATAATGTAAGGGCGACAGGATCTGCAGTTCCTAAAAAACCCGTTGGGCGACCTAAAAGTGTGCGAATACCCGAAAACATCACGGCACTAAGAGCCTTAATTGAGCAATCTTCAACCCGATTTGCTGCGCTTGG